AGCAACGACGATTCTGTGGAAAGCGTTTAAAAAATATTTTGGCAGACATGAAAATCGGTGACGATGAACTGGCGAACGAGACGCGAATACTGACAACTCGTCGTCACACTGATGACACGTGACGTTAAAGCGATACGAGTTCACTTCTCTAACATTACGTAAATTAATAATGATTTGAACCCGGGATCGGCAAATCTTTTTCTGGAAAAGGTCAGATTTAAAAACGTCGACGAGCCGGATTTGGTCCACGGGCCGTAATTTGTCGATCACTCATGTAAACAAGAATAAACGAGATTGAACAAACGTTATAAATAATCTCGAAGACGTACATCATCGCCGATTTGAAACGTCGATCGACGATCACGACCCGCTTCTCGGTGACTCGATTCGCAAATAACGGAGGCGCGAATTTCCTTGAGCGGAAACCGACGTTTGAAAAATTTTACGCAGACGGACCAGACGCGTTTATTGATTCACCTTCCTATCCGTGGTATCTACATCCGCGATGTATACGCCGTACACGGTATATCTCGCCTTCGTACGGCTACGCGAATTACCTGTTCCGACGAAGATTACCAATACATCAGAGGAGTTATTGACTGTGCCGTGGGTAAAACGTGCACGGGAACGATGCAACGTTTCTGTCTGCCGCACGACCGAATGCGGAATGTTTTGCCGGCACTGTCTGTGCCTGACAGCCTGAATCAATAATGAAACCCGGTAAACATTTCGCGATAATAAGCGGCGGATTATTTTTAAAACCGTTCCCTAAACGCTGAAAACATCCGATCGACCTCGCATCGTCTCAGGTGAAAATCAACTTTCCAATTTTCAGTTTTAAAACTTATCCCTGCCGTCCAACAAATGTTTTTATTATACCTTCATTCTAATAAATTCCCGAAATACTTTTCAATTTTATAGACGTTTGTGAAATTCGCGTGGATGAAATTTATTGGTCACGGGTTAAAGTGGTCGATATTAACCCCCTGGGGGTCGATCGGGGTCGATTACTTGAATTAAGGTTTTACGAGCCGTAAGACCTCTATCAAAAGTTCAAGAAATCTGATAAAAAGCTATGTCGAACATTTGAAGCGATAAACTCTTGGGAAAAATTATGTTTACAAAAGCTTTGTGCAATTGTAAAAGCTTTCTTTTTTCTTTTTAACATATAAAATAAAACTTAAAGGGTCTGAATACTGAATTTCTTTATTTATCACAATGAAGGTTGTTTAGCCTTCGCCGTAAGTTCCATACTTTTTAAAGGATGGACATTCAGAGTGTTAGGCGATCCCTGGTATACGGTGAAGCTTCTGTACAGAACTTTACGGCCGATCTGATATTTCTCTTCAGTTTTGATAGGGATGTTACGAGCAGACGAACCGATTAACGTTTTTAAGCAACGTAAGCAAGAACGCAACGGTTGACATGCAACGTACGCAAGAGGCGATACGACAGACACGGGGCGACGGGTACTATACCCACCCACGAGAAACTGATACTCAAGTTTATACATTGGTGGTGCCATCCATTGACATGCATTCTCATTACGTCTTTCTGGTTGAATAGTTCGCAAGAGTTAGCGTTACCAGCCGTAGCAAGCGATGTCATCAAAGTTTCCGTATAATAGAGTAACGAAATTTCTACATTTAAACGGGCCGCTATATCAGAATATGACCCAGTTCTGCGGGGACTTGGCGTAACCGTTTAAACATTTTTATTAACGCGAAACTCCTGCTTGAAATTTTTCAGATCTCCTGGTTTATTTTTATTTTTAAAACCGCGCACGTTTGAACTCGAATCGCGAAATGTAGAATGTACACCTATAAGTCACCAAGTTAACTCTGTGCATGAACTGGTGCGAATGTGTTGCGGAGGCTTAACAATTTTTGTAACGTAAACTTGCTTGCTTGAAAATTTTTTACATTTGCTCTTCCGTCTGTTTTCATTTCTATTTCAGGATCACAACCCGCGCGCGTTTAAAAACCATGTATATATGCGTATACGTTACAGTTTTAATTCTGTACGCGCGGACTCGCGTAAGCTTTATGAATTTTTCTAACGTGTGCTTGAAAATTTTAAATATTTTTTTACAACACGCGTGCCGAGTAGGACATTGAAGAACGCACAGAGAGCGCGTGTTTAATTACACGCGTACGAAGCTACAGAAGCGGGATTGACACAGAGAGCGATAATGGATTCGACAGTTCCGCCAGGAACTTACGTACTTTCCATCGATGCCATCTCCATGGTTGTTCAGGCAAAATTCCAAAAATCTTGTAGGCAAATTCTCAAATCCGCGCGACACCAACAATGTACGGCGTGTCACCGTGTTCGGCTGTCGGATCTGGATCCCGGCCAAATTGTTTTTGCGGTCGTTTATGCGCATCCACTCCGAACGTGGCCGTGTACCATACTTTTTCCCGTGCATCTAATCACAGGACCGTGCATCAGGATTTGCATTTTTCTATAGAACGCCAAATAGTTCTTCGGTGTGGCTAACGCTCGTTCTCTGTTGCCTACGTCCATGTGCAAACCACAACTGCTTCATACATGTTAGAAAAGTATTGGCAGAAATCATCTTTTAATCGTTAGCTAATAAAACGAAGGATTGAGATAACAAATGAAGCGAAGGGTTCAGAAGCCAATCGGTCAAGTGGCATTGCTAATTTTCTATTCCCAATTTGCAGAGACGCTATTTATTTCAATTTTAACGATAAGTAACTTACATTGATCAGCTTCTGAGTTCTGGACTGTTCGTTCTGTGAAAAAAAGCGTGACCGATAGATGAAAAGAGAAGAGAGATTTCTACTAATATGTTCAATCGTGAATCATGAATCAAAGCGATTCAATAATTCAATCGGTTGTAAAAATGGTATCCAAAGTTTTTATCGTTGTCTTTTAAACGTCACGAGAGTACGATACCAAAATGAACAGGTAAATAAATGATAACAGAAAAAAGCGAGAGGATGAAATTGCATTCGTGGAATAATTTCATAGAGATAGAAATTACTTCTGGCAAAAATTGCTTCATTCCCGTGAATTTCCAGCAGGTGGACCAGCCTCCGAGACTAAATAATTATCGAAAACAATCCTCCGAGCCCGAACGCGCCCGGCTCGCCCTTGCAATATACAACCCCGAGTTATGGCAGTATCAATAATAAATGCCACAATCACAATTACGGAAGAAACCGGCCCGCATCGTTGCGAGATTGACAATAACGCGCGTATCGCGACTCGGCTACAATTCCGTAACAACGGTCAATCGCGGAAATAAAGAAAATAGTAGATGAAATGATACGCACAATTCGCGGGAATCTAATACCGTCTGCGGAGTAAAAGAGATCATGAGAGAGATTGATCCCACGAAATTATTTAATTATTGTAACACTATTTATAATGAGATTGTTGGCACCGAGAAGATTGTTAGACCTGATATGTAAATCTTACTGATACCTTCGCAAACACCCTGTATGAGAGCACTTTAGACAGGGTGAGCTTCGTAAAATTAGGAATTCAAGGTATTTGTTGTACGATAAGAATTTTTATACAGAGGACATGCGGTGCAGAAGCATTATGCGTTCTATTTAAAAAACTGAAAGTGATCCTCGTGTATCAATGAGAAAAGCGAAAATACGAAAAGCAGATCGCGGCAGCGGTTGTTGAAAAATTTTATCGTACAATAAATACCTCACCAGTTATTCGAAGTCATCGCGTCATGAGATTCAGCCTGTACATTTCAGTGAATCACTTCGTTTTCGGGTTGATAATGCTAATCGATGAAACAATAGTCGATGTCAACCGAACAGAACTACAGGAATCGATCGATCAGCACGTATATTAAATTTCTGGTATTATTCGAATGGCACCGTAAAAATGAATAGAGATTACCAGACGTTCCAGATTTCTTTATTTCAGCGGAGGTTATGACACACTTCGCGCTCCGATCGCGAGAGGAACGAACGTCCCTCGCGGGGTTGCATCATCCCTTAACGGGAGGCGTAAAAAGGAGAGAGACGCGAGAAGAGAACCACGTATACTAGCAACGGGTAGGTACGGATAAATAACGCGCAAGCTAATCGTCGAGGAACGATGAAATGTTTCTCGAGGTAATCCGCGTGCCGACCAAATGGAACCATGACTGTAGCCCAATTTCTGTCCTTCGCCGTTGCTCCTCCGTGTTTCCCGTATCTAGGCAACCGAGGCTGGCGATCGTTCGTTTCTCTGTTGCGCGTGGGCGAGTCATCTGACCGTAGATGTACCGCACACCGACGCATCCGCACCCTCGCACCGCGCGTTTCACGTGTGAGTACGCGGCCGTGCACGTACACAGGCGAAGGGCATCGATTGCCTTTTAGGCAACGAGCGCGCGGACCCGTATTATCTGCTCGCCAATCCCGAACCGTCTCGTGGACACGGCACACGCTTGATGATATGTTCCATTAACGCTTAATTTGATTGTAAATTCGAAACGACCGGCGGAAACAACTAAAAACCGTTCGGCTGATTGCACGCGCAACGCGACCAGGCGATTAGGTTTCGCTACCCCTTCGAGGTATCGCGCCAAAAAGCGAGAGGAAAAATGAACCGAGTTCTTCGTTCTTCTCTCTCGACGATTTTTATTGGACGTTGATTAATGACGAGAAGACCCGTCGATATTCCTCTTGAATTGTTTAAGTGTGCCACGAGTTTTGATCGTGTAATTGAATCATTCATTTAATTGATTGCCTTAACAGAATTTACGCTAGACCCAATGCGTCCCGTGATTATTTCACCGGTGCCGCATTGAACGAAATGTAAATACCTGAATCTTTTATCTGTTTGAACAGGCAACGATTTTGCGTCGCGCTTTAATTGTATCGCGTACCAAAATAGCTTAAGCACAATTACTATCGTCGCTTATCTGGTGTTAAAAATAGTAGCAATAAAAAGTTAGTTGGAAAAATAAATACGAGCAATCGATTTTTGACGAGGTCAAAGGAATGAGAAGTGAAACAGGAAAGTAGCACCTTCGAACACACAAGTGTGCACCATTTTTATTTCAACTAAAATAACAAATGTCCGTGGTAGTTACAGTTGAACAGGAACCACCGAATCGGTCTACTTGTAATGCGGTTAGTGAACAAGAAACTTTGGATGCTGTTTATTCATCCATTCGCTGTCACTGCTACGTTTTCAATCGCCGTTCCACCGTGTTGAACGTGAACGCAAACCAATGAATTCTAATCGAAAGGAACATTCCAACCGTAATTTCGAGCATGGTTCAATTATTCAAAGATGCCGAGCATATCCACGAATAATCGACGTATGAGTATGCCTTGTTAAGAAAAACACAGTTCAATGCGAGATGATAAGATCGTTAATATGTGAATTGATATCTCTTTTAATATATTTCTTTAGTAATCAGTGATTTTTTTAGTGATCACTAATATCTATTAAAATATCTGGTTGTCCGTCTGACTAGTTACTGGCTATACTACTAGTTTCACGGAGGGAAGTAACCGAACTGATCTTCTCCGATTTCGATGAAAGGCAGAGACCTAAGGTGAACGTCCCAATTTCTACTCGCTGACGTATTTCTCTATGATTTTATATGTTATCTTAGAATTATAGAAAAATAAGCCAGTGAGTGGAAATTGGAACGTTTACCTCAGTTCTCACAAAAATATTTGACGGTTTTCTCGACCGTGTACATGAAAGGAGTGAAAACCCTTGTAAATAGCGGAAGGAAGTAAAATATCTAAAGTTTTGAATAAATAAATTCGATGTTATTGGTAATCCGTAAAACTTGTTAAAAATAACGATACGTAAATTTCCCCGAAGGAAAAGAGGTTCTTATTCCAAACTGCACTGAATTGCTTTCGACCTGAATACTAAATAGGATTAATTTAAGAGTACGCATTGATCTCCGTGAATCGTCCATGAATCATATAATTTACATAGTGATCTTCGATTCCCTCTAAATAAAAAATACGTGACTCTCCATCTCATTGTACTACGTACAACGCGATAGTCTCCTTTAGATGAGAAATGACTGTACTCGCAGCGAGTGAACAGCCTTTTTTTGGGAGCGTCGATCTTCGGAACGTCGGACGATGCAAAAAGAGGGAGCGACGGTGTAATCGTATAAGCCTTTCGTGTAAGTAAAATCGCGAGCGTGCCCTCTCCAACAGGATATCGGATTTCGGATTTGAAAGAATAAACGGATTTGCCGGTTGCGAATGGCACATCTTCGTGGGCTTAACAGGGGAACCAAAGTCGCGTTTAGGCGTGCGCGGCACGCGCACGACCGTCACGATCGAGTCGCATCCCGTAACCCCGCGAGACGAGTAATTCTATTATTTCCTCGGCATTGTCGCCGCTGATACGGAAACAAATGGAGTAATAACTTTGATAACGCGATTCGAATCGCTGCGCGTTTAGTGAAATATTTATTGCCGGTACGTTCGTTCGGAAGCTGGCGAGAGGCGATTCGTTAATTTACCGCGTTTTAAAAGCGAGCAGAAATTGCTGCTTAAAATTGCCCCATAAACCGTCGGACTGGTCTGTAGAGCTGCGATTAATTCGAGCGCGGAGTAATTGACTGAAGTTGAATTTTCATGAACAGTCGTTGGGGATTATAGCGCGCTGTTCCGGATGTGAATTTAAAAGGGCAGGTTAAGTAACTGTATCTTCGAGCTGGCTATTTTTCTTGTCGCGAATGTCTCCAATTTCGAAGGATATCGATAGATGGAAATTCAAATTGCGCTTTTATAAGATCATGAATACTTTAAGCTCGGCCATGTTCTTTGATGGGAGAACTTTCTTTCCGTGGTGAACAAAAATGTTAAGGTGAAATGAATATGGTGATGGTATGAAACGAGGCGATGTTTGCAATCATATCATTATTATTATCATAAATATTCTTTCGTATCGTGACAAGCTGAGGAACATAACGAGCATCGATACCAAAGGATTGGCAAAAATCTGACTAGCGTTACTATTACACAAATAACCGTGAGAGACTATGCTGCGCACACGCGATACTATGTTCTCGGGCATGTTCCGCGCCCCTCCCTCCTCGTAGAACGCACGAAAATATTAATTACAACACTCTCAGTTTTCTCTCGATCCGTTCTCACCACAATTTTCATAATTCTCATTTTGGCTAACGCTCGAACGAAACACGCGTTCTCCGCTCGTGTTCCCTTCTGTATTCTTTAGCTACATAGAAACGGATGACGGTTTTCAAAAATATTTATTACAATTAGAAAATCATGTAAGAGTATTATTCAGTCGTTGCGATTCTTAATCAATAATTCGTAAACTAATACTAGCACACACCGCTCGTTAATACGTAATATAGGTACATTATTACAATACATGACTTTCTCGTTTCGCTCGTCGTCGTCTCCCTTCGACGGATCGTTCGGCATGCCGTTAGTCGCGAAACGATACGCGTTTATAAGAAAATAAATAAGTAAATATACATGTAGACCGTTTCGATCGGCAAACTCTCAGTGGTGTTCTTGCTCGAGATTCCTCCGAGTACGTATCGAGGCGTACAATGTAACCGGCGCGGCGTGAGCAGGAAATTCCGTGCACCGGAACCAGAACGGGGGAGAATCGTAAGCTTGATATACAGAGTCTCAGCTAAAAGAAGCCACCTATTCTGTTTTTTATGAGAAAACTTCGTAATATGATTTAAATGGTTTCGAAGGAGTATCCTGTTAATTTACTTGTCGCTGAGGAAATATTCAAACATAACAGCCCATTTTAGCTGAAACACCCTGTAGTCATCGTAAACAGAACGTGACTGCGCGGATCAATTTTATTATTCGTTACATTACCGAATGTGAAACGCGATTAACGAATCTGTCAAGGGAGGGAAAAACGTGTTGAACCGAACGTGGCAAGTGGCATTAATTTAATAACCCAATTCTGTTCATGAGCTTCGGAATCGCGTGTACTCTTGGACAGACAAATGATACTAGTTTTCTCCCCTCCTGTTTTTCATTTTTACATCGAAACGCACCAGAATTTTTCGGCGCTCGTAACCGCCTTACAAGAATACTCGGTTACAGCAGTAGCGAAACGCAAAGTGACTCGTCGATCATCCAATTCTCAATCAGGTACATCTCCTCGCACACGTTTTTCATTTTTGTCGTTTAGGTGAACCGCGCGAAATCATCGAACCATGTTCTCTCTCTCTCTCTCTCTCTCTCTCTCTCTCTCTCTCTCTCTTTAAATAAAAATCGAAAAACACGAATAAAGAGATATACACATGGAGTTAGAGGCAGTGAGAGGTAATACACACAGATATATGTATAGAATATACATGTATACATATATATACATCCACGCTACGTTTTCATTTAGTCTTTCCTCGAGTTTTATAAAAGTACCAAAAGAAGAGAACTACTCATTTTCTCGTCTCGAAAGAACCCGATGCACCATGAACGTACTATACAGCAGTACCTATTATACCTAACGTCTACACATTGCGAAACACATGACCTCCGCCAGAAAGGAAGCAAATGGTACGGTAGTCTAATAATAAAATATTCCACGGATACTCTCTCTCTCTCTCTCTCTCTCTCTCTTTCTCTCTCTCGTCGATTCGGATCGTCGTTTCTTCTCCGATTTTGCACGCGGCGGGCCAACCCTTACAGCAACCCTGCGTCGCTCGTTGATCATCGCCGTAAACAAGATTTAACGGCGGCGCAACGGCCATTTCCGGTAACCCGCGATCCACCCGCGAGAGTTTTCCCTGTCCATTGTCCTTCTGCGGCTCCTCGTTGCCCTCTTTTCAGGCCAGAACCGATTTCGTCCCTTTCATATCTCGCCTCGTCCCGTCCCCTTCGGTCTCGGCCGCCGGCTCCTCTCGCGCACTGGTCCAGGAAAATGGCCTCAAGCCGGAGGACGATCAATTCTCTCGCGCGAAGCGGCCTGGCCTTTTATTTCGTTTCTGTTTACAAGCACGTCGATTTTTATTTATATAAACAGCTCCAAAGCGCGCGTAGTTTCAATGCGTTATAGTTAACGAATGGCGATCAGTAGCGAGACGAACAGGCCCAGGATCAATCTCGGCGACGGCAGCCTCGCATCAGACCTGGACGAACCGAGAACTGGAAACAGAGAATAACACCGACCGGCTGCAGCCTTAAATCTGCATGGGTTATCTTTCATTATTTCACTGACCGATTTCTTAAAACTATCTAGCCGCGTCTTTAATGGATGATTTAGAAAAAATATTTATATGAGTAACACCGAACCTATGACTCATCAAACTTGAAAAATGTTGAGAAATGCGTGAAACGTAGGGCGTGAATTTTGAAAGAATTGACTACTTAATATTTTAGAGCAAAAATCTCTCACGAGCCCTGTCACGTTAAAAATATATTTCCACTCTCTTTCAACTTAATAATTATTCCTAATGACGTAGTTTGCTTTACAAATAGGTATACTCACTATTATTTTCAAGTCTTATCTCCGTAGAGGACGAACTAACGCAATCAAAAACGGGTCGAGAATGATTATTGTCCCGAGCCTTACTACAGATGGTAGATCTCCTTCGCGCGAAACTTTCCGAATTAATTCGCGCCATTCTCCATGCTAATATATCCCCGTTGTAGTCAGCGGCGTCGGCGCTGAGCGCGGGAATTGAAAGTAATAAAACCGCGATTCCCGGGACATAATAAGGCAAAAAAATTCAGATCGAGGGACCGCTTATGCTTTAATAGCAGTCTCCGGATATGTAGGTCATAGAATTTCGATCGCGACCCACTCCCCTCCGTCGATGATGGATGACAAACTTCCTACGATACTGGGAATAAAAATGCCCGTGTCTCTCTTTCGTGTTTTTCGGTGAATTCGCTTTTCCAATTCGACTCGACGCGAGCGCACGGAGATACTAAATAACGGGACGTTCGGGCAGAAAATAATTTTCGGTTTTTCGACCCTCGATCACCCGGTGACTACGCTCCAGCCGCTAATTAACCCCCCACGGGGCGAGCCCGTACGACTTGATTTACATCGGCAGTTTCGGTCCAGTCACGGTCTTCGATCAAATATTATTCAATGCTCCGCGAAGTGAATTAACTAACTCGGCTTCTGTCTAACCGGTCACGCTCCGAGCCACCGAATAACGTTCAAACGAGTCGCGAGCGAACCGTGACCGCGTCGTCGTCGTCGTCGTAACGCAACGCGGAGCTCTCGCATCCTCTCTCTCTCTCTCTCTCTCGGTTTTCATCGGCTTTCCCCTGTTCCATCATATTTCTCTCGCGCAAACCGCGCCTAATTATGACACCGGTTAATCGCGCGTATTACCACGTTTTACAATGCTCGTTTGTCCCTGGTTAATTTAGCGAATTTAAAGGCGAACGCCGAGGCGCCGAGATCGAAAATGACGCGATCCTCTATGAACCCGGAGCGAGCGAGTAAATAAAATAACCAGGCGCGCACCGACAGCACTGCGCGTGCTTCGCAATTAATTATCGTTAATAACTCCCGGTGCTTTTACTATTACATTATATTATAGTTACACTTTGTTACAAGCACTTTGGCGTGCGCGGCACTCGCGGGACAAATGTTCGGATATTAATGCTATTTGTCGCGGCAATTGCCCATGCGATGACGTCGCGGTTTAATTCGTCCGCAAATCTCTGTGGCCTCCGCCACCTCCGCCGCACCCCGCTCGAACAGACGGAAGTGACGGAAGCCGCACGGGAGTGGGACTTCGATTCCCGGAAACGAATTCGATTCTCTAACGAGCAAATATTTCATTTATCTGATAACTTACTTTGATCCGCTAAAGAAAACGGTCGAGCGGAAACGGGTAACGTGGAACGAAGGCTCTGACGGTAACGAGGCAAACGGCTAACTCAAACAGTGAAACGAAGTTTTTGCCGGGCCCTCGCGATCGACGAATTCACTTTTTCCTCCTTTCTTTTGATACGATTCCGATTGAATTGTGACCATCGCGGTTATTATATACATACATATAACAAAGTGTGTAACGTGATCCGAGGGAACGGATATTCGTACACCACGTGCACGTCTCTCTCTCTCTCTCTCTCTCTCTCTCTCTCTCTCTCTCTCTCTTTGTTTTTTTTCATCTGTCTGTCGATTTGCGTTTATCCGCTTTTTTCCTCCGTTGTCATTCATCAGGCGATATCGGTCGTTGTTTGTAGCCGTTGCAGCAACTTCGTGTCGGCTCATTCGACGCCAAATAATCCGAAGCCGCGGCAAATAATCCTGGAACGCGGCTGGAATTATCTTTGCCGCAGCCTCGGGATTAGTCGGCGTGAAACGAATTATTCGATGGTGCGCCGAGCTATTTGACGTTAACCAGGATAATTCGGCCGGTCGGATTATCTGAACCGCGGCTATGGACAAACAAACGGATGCTCGAGGTCACTGTCCCGGACGCTTGTTTACCCCATGGGGTAAAAAGAGAAGCGCGGGATGAAACGGTTGAAAAGAATCGTAATTAGAAATTTCGATTAGCCAGTTTAATCAGAACCGACTCGGACTCTGTGCCGGCACGTTAACGCGTCGAAAGGAGATTTCGTCGGGTACAAAGTACTCGGTTAAAATGTCGACGCTATTCATACGAGCAGAGAAATTGTCAACCATTTTCAAATCGTAATGCGCCGCGTTTCCGTTCGCGGACGATCAATGACGAACGCTTTTAATGAAAGCCCGGCAGCCTCGTTTTTTCTTTGTTTCTAACTACATTTAAAGGACGTCCGGTATTTTTACCTTCCCTGAAAATGGGACCCTCGCCTATTTGGATTCCGTCGGTAACCTTTGAACCATTACCGCGGAATGTCGTTCATAAGTAATTGCTCGCACTAATTGAGAAACGGAAACCCGTACAAACGGAAAACGGAAACGTGTCGGTACAATTTATGCAAACGAAAATATATTACCCTCTTCGCATAAATATATAGTTGTAAATAACATGTCATGGAAATACAGGCTGATTAATTAATTTCAATGATTAATATACGTTTCGACACTGTGAATGGTAAATTTCATACGTAGAAAGTAGGACAAATTGATTCGAGTTCTCAATCTCAACGAAAATATATTATATCGTAAGACCATTGCAAATGTCTATATGAATGACAGGACCAAATGTGATATTTGGATTAATCTTTCTGTTACTATGAATTATTTAATACCTTTAAGGGGCCTTACCAGTGTGAAACTTTAAAAAAAATCGAATTCTTTTTTATATTTTTCCAAACTGTAAACCAGGTCTCTTCAGAAACTCCTGAAGAAAATGAACCCGTTTGATCCGATATTAAAAACGTTTTCTGTTTTAATACTAAATATTTGACCCAAACACCGGTCCAAATAAATCTGATAGAACACGAATGTAATATTACCTTTCACTCCGACATGGCCGTCTGGTTTCTTCTGACCGGTCTGAAAGTTCGGCGGCGGCTGGAGATAGTTGATACCGACTATGGTAGCCGCCGGTTCATAGTGGATCACCCTGGGCCTGTCCTCCTCGGTGCTGACCTCGCTGCTCTGCCAGTAAATGTCGTATATCGACGCGCTGCACCTGATCTTCATCTTGCCGCCGATGAAATGATCGTGCGTAACGAGAAACTGAAGCCCGATTTGGGAGATCTGCCCCGCTGACCCGTTCGTGACCACCGGTTTGTACGTGTGAACGTGCGACTTCTGCGGCTGCGTGTGACAGATTCGTTGCGAACAGATTAAATGCCTGGGAACGCGTCTGTTAACCCGCTGAGGATGGACATAAATGTAATAATTCTAATCATTCCGCGAAACAGCATCGTCGGTCGTGAAATATTTCAACGTCCCCCTCGATCGAATATTCTAATTATCTTCCCGTTATATTCTCAATGGAATTTCTCACGACATATGATATACGATAATGGCTTTGTTCAATCCATGGGGAATACAATTGAAAAGCATGGAACATAGAGGAACGAAAATGATTTTAATCGTTTATCCATCCTGCAAGGGTTAGAACCGTCTTTGCTCGAATTTCCAGTAATTAATTGAAACGCGTTGATCGGGTTTGAGGACAAATTTTAGGCGATTAAACGGGAATAACGCAGGAATTCACTAATCGCCTCGAGTGTTCCGTGTAATAAGATTTCGTACGACGTTCAAGAACTCATTTGTGATACAGTAATGACATCGATAGAACCTTGTGGCGCAAGGTATACATTTAAAATTTGTAACAAATTCCTTACGCATTACACAGTGAAGCAAGTCTTATAGAATCCCACAGAAAATGTTGTTTGGTTCAACGTTGAAAAAATTATTCAATTCTGAAGCGTTTCCACGACTGTGCATATCGAACACGCGAGCAGACGAAAGCAGGGATATTAGGAGTTTCGAGTACAATTCCAAGTTAATGCACTTATGTTCTTTCGTGTATCCAGATGAGTTGCGAGGGATAACAGCACCTGTAGTAAGCAGCTGGCCAAACTTTGAACGAGCCCTTTGGGAATACTCGAGCTCGTTGTTAGCTGCAATTTCCTGAATAAAATATCGTGGAAACTGTTTCTTTACATTTCTTAACTCTCGAAGAAGAAGTTAAACGTCTCCTGTAATAATAATCTGACTTCGAACGGGGTTCGAAAAAGTTCTCGGAAGAACAGAAGGCAAACGGAAATAACTATTCCCGCTGTTCGAAAACGCTAACAAAAAGTATACCGTGATATCGCTCGTAACTCGGACAGCGATATGATTTTATCGATGAAAACGCGCGCAGCACCGGATTGATTGACAACCGATTCGACAGGGCAGCGTTTTGATAACGTCCGTCATTACACGCGACCAAGGAACTTCGATTACTTTTTATTTCTCGAGTGTTTTTTTTTTTTATACCATTATGGCGCAGCGTTCGTATCCTGAAACGCGTACATCATGTTCGCAGGAAAATTCGGTTTACGAGGTTTCGTTGCGTAACGTTTCATTGGAAAATCAAATCTCCGCACTCAGTTCCGATAGGAATACACCGCGCGTACACGTCTCGAGCGCAGACGTCCAGAAGCTCGATCGTACATTTCGCGAAAAATACATCACACTGATAAAACATTATGACTTACCAGGAATACGGGTCACGCTTCCGTTCCTGTTTCTCGTACTTGAGAGAAACGATGACGAATATTGATTTGTCCGTTGGACCGTTTTTTTGATATTTGATATTATGAGGACGGTCTACGGTTTGATCAGCTGCACAAACGTGAGCTACTCTTGGTCGTAAAAGGTTCGACGGCGGAAAAACGTAGACACCTGAATAAATTATGAACCGGGAGGGAAAGGTGGAACAGAGTCGAGCCGACTTTAACGCGGCACCTAACATAATTTACACCCGTTTCATATCTATACGTGCGATTCGGTTCGTGTGCTTTCCCGGGATCCGAGGTCTAACTCGATTTTCCTGTTCAATTTCCGCCCGCATCAAGATAAACCGAATCGAAAAGGCTTCTGTACAATATAATCAACATCCTTCGACGTCTAATAACCGCGGAAGAGATATCCGAACGTTGTAACGCGCTTATTTCAATTTCTTAATTCCATTGCACTCTATCCAGACGAAAAATGAAACCACATAGACCAGAAGGGAGTTTTCTAGCGAAATCGATAGCTCACTGCGTGCAGGTGAACGTACTTGCTTTTAGATCAAAAGAACAGAAATATACAAAGGGAACAAGAGATCTTTTCAGGTTAACATTTAATTAGACGATCGACCAGACTTTACGAATTTATACATGCTTTGAATGTATACGACTCAATAGAAGACTCAATAGAAGGATTGAGTTGTACAGAATTATTTGAAATTAAATCTGTTTTACTGCATCGTAAAGTACAGTGACTCCTATTAATATTCAGACACACTTCGAAATAGCATAACTTTTTTAATATTAGGTCAAACAACTCTATTCTCTTTGGAACGTTAGGAGAAAATTAAAAGATGCCTATTAAAATTTTCACACGATAAAGGAAATTTATCTTATTGACACATTATACAACTAAGCTCTCGAACATCTCACAAGAAATTAAGCTGTTTGATCCAATGGCAAAAAACTTACTCCATTTTTAGGTACGTCTGAATATCAGTGGAAGTCGCTGCGCACCAGAGATGCAGCAGTCTCTTTTTCGATTGACACGATACAATGATCAATGGTCAAGAGTAGGTACCGATCTCTTAGTTCTTATATTAACCGAGGGAAGAGCTATTGGTCCAGGAAGCAATCATCAATCTTGCTGCACTAAGGGAAGAAAGAGGATTCGTTCGGTCGTCGGATCTAAATGCGCCTCGACTTGGCCCGTGAACCTCGGATAATAGAACGTGTTAAAGCAATCGGACCCCGCAACTGCGCCGCTCCCTCGACAACACGTAACAATTAACTCGATCTCCAAAATCTCAGACACGATTCTCTAATTGTTCCTCGCCCTGCAGCGGTGTATCCTTAATGCACAGCCTTTGCCATTAGGCGATGGAGAACGTTTCCAGTTCAAGAATGGGTCGTCGTCGGTTTACGTCTTACGAAAGTGGAACGCGGGTAGACAGAGGCAGGAGTGGATTCTCGGGGGAAAGGAGAAATTCGTAACCGCTATTCACGATCATCTTCATATACTGAACCGTACTTGTTGGTCGTTGATGTACCAGGTGAGATTGGCCGCGGGTTTACTCGGTCCGGATGTGCAGTCCAAACGTAGCTTACCGCCGACCTGGTATTTCCTGCTTAACCCGACTATCTGCGGCCCTTGAGAAGGTAATTCTGCGGAACAAGAGACGTCAGGTACACACCGAGGCTCCGGAAGTATGCGAAGCATGTTCGAAACCCCGCTTTGATGTTCGAACGTTACCGCGTGCACGTGTGTACAGGCACGAACACCGACGCGCGAATGCCGATGCGTTCGGCGGTACACGGGATGCCGGGGGGGTGGGAAACTTTTCAAGATTCCCGGATGCACCGACCAAAAACCAACCAACCAAGCAACCAGCGAACGAACGCGCGGGCTCGGCGTTTCCATAGAACCGATCCGAGACTGAAAGCTCTCCTCTCGCGTGTGCCGGCGCGACTGATGAAAAATTCTTCTTTTATGCCTGGCAGTTCGCGCTCGCGTTTCGATATCGGAATAATGCATTCGTAGAGAGACGGCATTGTCCCGATACCTTCCTTTTTAGAGGCCCTCTCCCCAATCGTACCAAACATTTTCCGGCGAAGCTGCTCGAGAACGGTGCGTTTGATATCTTTCGCCCCGTTATACGAAAATATACGCGTAGACCAAGTAGACTTATAGTTTACACGCGAATTCCTACTTCGCATCCGGTGATGCTGCAACGCGACGGGATCGCTTAAGATTATATGAGCCGTAAGATATCAGTCAAAAGCTTATATCAGTTAAAATTTCATTGAAAAAAGTTCAGCCGTTTTTTAGATGTAGCAACAAGAAAAGGTCTTCTATTTGCAGCTGTTTATTCTTAAGCCTTCTCTTCGTTAATACATATAGCAACTACCTTAAGCGATAGATTCGTGTATCTCCTTTTTCCCCTATGTATATACCTATCGTACCATTCTTTGTCTCGTTTGTATCATTTTCGTGATTTGCTAGAGCCTCTCCGGTACTGATCCTCTTTTTTTAACGTCTGTCTTCCGTTTTCCTTTCTCGCCGGTTCTGCCAGAGTGAATTCAAGTGACTGGCTCTCGGGAAACGAAACACGCGAAGAGGGAAACTTTACTCGGCTGGGAACGCTGATAAAAAAGTTTCCTCTTACCTCGGCTTTTTTTATTATTGTCCGTCTAGTATTTTTGGGACTTATTAAAAGTTGAAAAAACAGGGAAGAAGCCTAGACTACGTGCGCGGCAGGATTGTGTTGCCCGCGACAGAGACAACGAGCACCTTTTTAAACGTTTCGAGAGACACACGAGCCACGGGGAGGAAGATATTCTATCAAAGTTCGTCCTTTCTACCGTGAAAAATTTCATATTCCCATCTGTGACGAAATTTCGCGTCACGTAATTTTGCAGCGAGCACGCGTAAGGAAAAAGGGCGGGCAAGAAGTTTATTATTGAAACGCCGTGTCGCACTCCACGCCAGTTTCTCAAAAGCCTCTTTCGGTATTTCTTTAATAAAAATACTTCGAATATAAATATTGGCACGGCGCGGAACGAGTTCTAGGCGGGAAATTTCTTCTCACCGAACTTGCCGAGATATTACATCCGTGGCCCGGGAAAATTTTTCTGCCCGACCACGGATTGTTGGAAATAAAGGATTCGCGGGAAAGTTTTGTTACCGCGCGCGCCTTCCAAGTTTTGATCCGTTCGAGCGCCAACCCGCGAAGCGTCACGAACGTCAGACGGGAAAATTGGAAGCAATCGGCAGCCTCGAAACGGTCCGCGACCATTTGCGCGTTTGCACAATGGCTCGTGTCGGTGCATTGTGCGACGGGAAAGAGACGAACGAACGACGCGCACCGGGCTAATTCGATTCGCCCGTTTGTTAACGCGAGTGCGCGCGAGATAAATAAAATAAATCGTTCGAAAAAATCAGCGTCGAAGGTAAAGAGAAAATTCGATGATTCATAACGAGATGAAACTCGAATAACGCGAAACGCGCGGCCGATCGGTTGAATTTTCCGAGCCGCGCTGCCTCCCAGGCCTCCGCGTTAATGAATCAAAAACAGATTGCTTTATGAAAATCGAGTAATTTCGCGCGGCGAAGTTTTCCTCTGCCGCGGCGGCAGCGGTGTTACACGGAACTGGGGTACGTTGGAACATTTCGTTCCCTTATTAAGCGAAAATGTTGCAGTTCATTAGCCGTATTTCGCTTTAGTCGACCGTCTTTAGACCGCGTAGAAACTCTGTCCGCGCTTTACTTTTACTCTACCAGTGCCTGGTTTAATCATATTTTCTGATACGCAGCATCCCGGCAACTACCGCCGCTGTTTCTTACAATTTGAAAACGTCCGTTCGGACTACGAACGATTTTCCTGCTCGAAGTGGTGGGAGGAGAAATTTAACAACGTGATAAAGCCTTCGTTAAACCGTAATTCTATATCCGAACAAGCGGCAATTCCCGTACAAATGAACGCATCAAAATGGTAATTCCGGTTGTCAAACTCGATAGTGCGACCTCGCGAAACGAGGAAAGATGCTCCCGATTTATCGATGACACGGATGAAGATACGCGGTGGTATTGAAAACACGGCATCTTCCAGTTCGCAGGAAAACTTCCTTTAATTAGTTTTCCTACAATTTTCCTCGTTGTGAAACATCATAGACAGTCGCGCTCGTTAGTCTCTTAATTGCACCGTTTAACAAGTTTCCGCAGAGCGAGATAATAACTGCGATCGTTCTTTGCACGGTTCTCGGGTTCGAAACGCATCATGGGACGTTCGTCAAGTTTACGACGAGCAGCGTACAAAGGAATCGAGAAACGTTTCGACTCTTTTCGTATCAGAACTTCGTTAACCCGCACGTTGTTCGATCTTCGAAGAGGACCGAGAGAGGAGAAAGAGAGGAGGAGCGAGAAATTGCACCCGCGGGCAGATCTATTCTCGAGGTACGTAATTCTCGTTCATTCTTACACGCGTATCCGCAATATTATCTTCGCTTCGGTCCGCATCGACTCGCGTAAGCCCTTAAGTCCAACGACCCAGTGGCTGGGCATTAATTCTGAGTTCGAAAAGTACCCCACGGTACGCTAATGCAGCCGTCTATACGCCGTACACGTACGTGTGCACACGTGCGCGACACAAATCTTCTCGTTCCTGTATGTGTTACGGCGAAAGTGGGTGGTCAGCGATACATAAATCATCCTTAGCGAACGTACGGGCTCGCTATCGTAGTCATTCAATACGTAATACAGTTGTCATCTGTTCATACACGGGATTTGCGGTGTACTCTTATTGACGGCGAACATTTCAATTGAATAAATATGGCAAATAAAATATAATTCGCATCGCCACCCGCTTTAGCCATTTTTCACAGCAGTAGTATAAGACACGTAGGATCAGTTTATATAGCTACCCAAGACGATTCCCGATCCACTTGGCACGCACACATGAAGAGATCAAAGTTTCATTGCGCAATCTCGATTTTCTTTAAAATGACAAGACAAAATATTTAAAGGAACAACGATTTTGTCGTTTTCTAAAGAATTATATTTCTGGGATCTACTTGCTTCGATTTAACTAGCGTTTCGTGAAAATCTGTGCAATGGAACTTGGAATATAAAGTGTTTTCAAGACAGCAAGCTTTTAGCTAGGATTTTAATCCGAATTCTAGTTAGGATTCATTTGCGACTATCGGGTTCAAATATTGTTACACAAATTATTCTACATATTCGATCGTTCCGTTACTGAATTCATCAGGGTTCTAATTATGAAGCTCAGTTCATAGTTAAAGATATTTAATTTAAGATTGAGGTTTTAGAATAAGCTTTTGTGTCTTTCTTGTAGATCCCAAGTGGTTTCTTGGGTAACTGTATACTGAACCATTACTATAAGAGACGAAAGGAACAAAAAACGATGATCATAGCTTTCTAACAAACTTTGCACCGTTCTATCTCCATTAGCAGTAAGCACTCCGTTAATAGGTACATTATAAGGTATTATAATAACAACGAGTTAATGGACACGTTATCTTACCGACGATGTTCATGGTCGCGTCGTCGAAGTCTGTGTGAAAGGAAGGAGCGTCCGCGGATACTTCGCAACTATACGAACCACTTGCCTCCAGTTCCAGGTTCGTCAGGGTTACCTGAGTCGCGTTGCTTTCGCTCTTCTGTAACAGAAAACAGTTCTTCTTACCGACCATAATGGATGTGCAATTCACTGACAATGAGTCATATGACATCTGTAGCATCGTCTATCAAAGGAACAGAGAATTGAGAAATTCGTCTATTCTTTACTTCGTTTCTGTTCAGCAGTTCTCACACTCTGCGACGAGGCAAAATGCCGATGTTACCCACTAAATGGGGTATTAAACGAAGGTCCTCTCGATTCTCTGAGAAATAAAAACGTAGAATCGAACGTGTGTGAACTCACATTCTGCACTACTTTTTTCTGGTTATCGATGAAAAGAGAGGAAAAAACGTCGGACAAATGTTAAAAGATTCACGTGACCACCCTGGCCCCTTAACGCTGCGAAACGAAATCGTTAAGAACCATGAAACGAACAAAACCCGCATAGAAATCAGAGCTTGGTAATTTCAACGGTTGCCACGGTAGTTCCACTGTTAATCAGCTAACTTTCCGCCAGCGAAAGAACCGCAGAGCGCGACCGACTTTTTATCACGTCCGCTCGGTCGTCTTCGATGCCGGACGAGCCGAGCCTGGCAGCGGGAAATTTATGACTCTGCCACGGGTACGACCGACCGACCCGTAGCTACGTACATACGTGCGTATGAAAAAACCAGAGAAGAGAAATAAAAAAGTACGGACAACAGCGGGGGAATAACCGCGAGAGCATCGATCAATCGACCGGAAGACAAAAGCCAGCGGTCAGCTCGTCGCATTGTTTCGTCACCGGGCAAACGAGCAGTCCCTCGATTGGAAGACGAGTCCAATGGACCGGCAACGAAGCTCCTTCCGCGCTTGTTATCGATTGCGAGGACCACTCATCATCGGTCCGGTATCACACGGTGAAACCGGCGAACGGCGCCTTTCCACTACGCTCAGTAGTAATTTAAACCAGCTGTAATCTAAGACAGTCAAGGGGCCGTGAAATATTCGAGTTACGTACTTAGCGCGGATTATGTAAATTCTATTCCTATACCCTGGATTATGTAAATCCGATATAAAAGTCTGAAGCAGTGGTTCTTAAACGGTGTACCGCGCAACGCTACCGCTCCGTGAACTTAGAGAAAGCGAGAGAATCGTCAACACATTAAGTTACGAGTTTTCTTTACAAGACGAGGTATAGTTAATTACATCGTCGACGAATCGTACTCTCAACATTAAATTTTCTGAAATGATAGTCGAGGAATTCTGGATTTCTCTAATTTGAAAGATGAAACCGATCTTGTACATTACAAGGTCGTGAGTTAAACAGACTCAATTGTTATAAATGTGTAGCTGTAGTTGCCAGATAAAAAAAGAGCTTGTGCAATTTTTTTCTCTACTCCACGCGTTAAGAAGTATTTGACGATGGACGAAATAATTAATCGATTACTCCTGAAGTATTTGAAAACAAATTAATTAATAGAAGAAAATTATATTCGATCTTTTGGAGGTGGAGGACCGATACGATGGAGATAATAGCAGTGCCTATCTGGTCTACGAAATACTTCAGTGGACGAGACAGTAGAATATCGTTTGATCTATTCTATCTATGAACGAAACTATGGATCATCCGACACCAGGCTAAAATTAATCAACAAAGTCGTTTGTCATTAAGAAACCCAATTCTTTCGTCGACTTGAAAATTATTAGAATACTCGAGCAAGGTTTTACGTGAATCAACGGTTCTACTCTACGCGCGGTTTACGAGCGACATTACGCCCTACGTCGGGTGCTGGTTACGCGAAATTTCGCGACACCGCACGATTTATTCACGGGCGTAGACGGGGGCACGCGGTAAATAGCTGGAAACCGGCGGCTTCCGGCGGATTTAGTAGGGTTGATACAAAAAAACCTGGGGTTTCCTCATCCCCTTGGGGTATGTTTATGGGCAACGGGACGGTGCGACCGAGCGGGTTCCAGCGGGGGACATTTATTGTGGCTTTTAGAAAAAATGCCAGACCGATTAAAGTGGCACGTGGCGTGTCACGGAACAGGCGGCTAACGAGTCGATCAAACTCGTCGAAAGAAACGGACAAGCGTTATTGAACGTATATGATTGATTGGGAAATATTTGTGAGTGACCAGTTGTGAAGGTGGACATGCTCTCGGAATTCGTGTGTCGATACAGTATTTCGAATTCCTACACACTTTTTACACCAGATTTTGCTTTTTCAATCAGTACGAGCAGAAAGCAGCAATTGATGGGGTTAATACAGCTAAAACAGTCTGAACATATTATTATAAAGTAATTTAATTCTTATGTGCCAGCCATTTCAAATTCGATGTGAATTTAGGGCACGTCATGTTCCTTAATTTTATAAAACGTGCTCGCAAAATTATACTTGTAAACTAAACGATAAATTATTGGATCATATATGTACGTGTAACACATTTAACACTTTTTACTTTACTGCATTCAACTCGGTCGACTCGTTTAACCGACTAAAATTTTGAGTGTCAATAATCGACATCGACGAAAATCCCGTGGAAATGTAATTTTTTTTCGCACAAACTTTCCAATCTTCTTCAGCTACTAAAAGACTAATTAGGACTAACTTTAGTGAAGTTCATAAAGAATACAGCTTTCAGATGAAGAAGTGTTAAAAGAGAATTTTTAATCTTCGACAAATTAATGATTACTAACATTGCCAGTAGTTAAAAGGACGATTAAAGAGACGTTCCACTTTATTTAACTTTACATCCTAAATCATATATATTTTCCCGCGTTTGATAAAATGAGATCTACTTAATCCCCCGAACTTAAAAAGAGTCGGAACTCGTTGAAAAGGGAAAAAATAGAATCCGATGAGATTAAAGTTCGGATGGTACGATCATAGGACGGCGACCGTGAAGCCATTACTCCCCTCGAAGAGAGTTCCAGTTCGCTGATGTTTAACGCGCGGCATAAAACACCCTCTACAACGCGGTTGCGCATATTCTATGCCGTCGAACCCGACGTCGTACAAATTTTTTAATCCACCGATTTCCATCGAATTCACCGATGAATAATAATCGTCCTTCCATTTGTCTACCAGCCGTCGCTTCGATCTCATTACACTTCGTCAGCCGCGAGAGGAACCAAAATCATTTGAATAATGTACAGCTCACCTCAACCCGTGACTAAAAGAATTCTCGTTTCATCCCCGCATTAACGCACCCTCGTTACCGTCCGCGGAAACAATGTTTACGATATTTTCAACGATAATCGTGAAGACATCATGATAATACGTCCATTCCTTCTCCCCGGAAACTCGAAACTTTTTCCCAAAACACGCTCGTAAAAAGAAGCTTCTAATAATTCTCGAGTGTTGCCTCGTCCTCCGTTCTTCTCGTTAAAGTATCCAACGTCATTCAAGTTTCCCGAATGAACTGTATTTTCTTATCTCAGGTCGATTCTAAAACGATCGCTTCTTTCGTAACTCGTGATATTTATTAAGAATATTGTACTTTTTTATTTTTAAAAGATTCTCTTTAGACTCGAAATTTCAAGCTTTAATTTAAAACACAATGCGTCGTCTCGTGATAATCTGTTGCTCGGACGATTTTCGACAGAAATTTCGTAATGCCATAATTTTTTATAGAATGCTTAATACATAGAAATAAATATGGTACTGGTCAAATGTCTACCCTAACTTCTGGGATCATCATTCGTCGGGACAACTACTCATTGAGACGTTCTATAAACCTGAAAATGAGCGTGGAACAACTGCTCCGGTATTCGGCCTTGATTCTTCCACCAGCTGGCGGGTGTTCTGGCTCACGAGGTCGGACGTGCAATAAGAAGGAAGGAGGACGCGCAGCGAAGTCTCGAATGGCTCACCTTCACCGTCAAGTTCCCGATGGGGAAAGTCTTGACGACCGGGGTCTCGTTCGGGGCATAGCGATAAAACTCTCGACCCCCTTTGTACCACTTGACGGCGTATAAAGGATCCCCCTCGGTGTCATACCAGCAGTTCAGTATCGCCGAGTCACCTTTCTTCACGGCCGCTGGTATCTGGATCCGCACCTCTCGGAAGCCGAAGCAAATTCCTGCAACAGACGTTCGCGTACATGTACTCATGTGTCTACGTATACGTGTACGTGGGACGACGACGGTCGTTGTATTCGATATTTTGCACACGAGCTGTCTGTACGTCGTCATCGTCGGGCCACTTTTTCTGGTTGGGATCGATCCGAGAAGGTGTCGGCCCTCTCGAGCCGGAATTAATGAGCTCGAGTAGATGGTTTCGAGTTGGAATACTATTCTCGAACTTTCTTCTTAGGAAAGGTGGGAAAAAAGAGGAAGACGGAAGGCGGTCGCAAGCTCGTATAAGTATACGCGTTCCCGTGATGCATTTAACGACAGGAAATTTATGCCGGGTATATATTTTACGAGTCTGCCTTTCCTCGTCAGTGAGGAGCCGAGAAATAAGGAAAATAGATTTCGCCTTTTAATTTTTAATTTCCAGTTCGAACCCTGGTTTCATATCAGACCTGCGCCAGCAAATTGTACGTTTCATTGCATTACGGTTGTAAAACATGTTGAAGTTGCTCGTTTGGGGTTTGCTTGCTAGCAATTCGGTAAATGCGCCCGGCTCCGCATTTTTAAAACGCGCCCGCGCTTCTCTGGGTATAATTGCGACCTCCACAGCGATGCTTCTCAATAATGAAAATTCCAATGTAAATATTTCATGTGAAAAAATGCACGGTATCCACCATTCGTACTCTGCATTTTTCATCGTGTACGGATTCCGAATACCGGTTAACGGGACAAAGATGGTAGCCACGTGGCCCGATCGATTTTATTGGCATTTTTAACGAGCACGTTTCTAAAAATCGGTACGTCCGAGAGAGGACCGTACATTGTTTGGTTCTCGATTGTTATTTCAAAAGCTAAGCGTGGCAATAAAGGTTGATGTGGAGCGATAATTGAGTTCCATAGGGGATCACTGCGGAACGAGAATAACGTTTCCCGTGAAACACTAAAGGAAGACCGATGTTTGTCATCAGTGGAGATCGTGAAAGGGTCTGAGGCGTATTTCGATCGAGCTGTCCGGGGCAGATCCGCCACTTTGAATACAGCTTAAAGCACAACAGACGAATAATACCTAACCGACCTCCGCATGAACTGAGCGAAATGAATTTCGTTGATTACCAACGATGGAATTTAATATCCTACTCTGCTACACACTAGTTAGACGCAATCTCTTCTGCAGATATCTATACCTATATTTAAAGCTGCAATTGGAAATCGGTGGACCTTTGTGCGATCGGGTAATTGCGTTTTCTTGCCGATTAATACATTCCATTTCTGGCATATCGCCTCTAAATACACGTTTAGTAGTTCCCTTACTATCGAATGCTTATACTTCTACTTCTTCTTAAATAATAAGAACAATTAAGTAGCCTTTTTATTCTAATTTATTTATGAGTAAAAACCAGTCCACTCTATACGCAAAACAGAAAAGTAATTTCAAAAATATTTAGAACGAGGTATAATAACGATTCACACTTTTGGCTAAGAAAATTGTTAATTATGATTTATGTACCATATTCTCCTAAAACGCAAGAAGGAATCGACTCGCTGACATTTAAACTTTCACACGTATAGCTAATGTCTCATATTAAATACATTAAGGGAATTCTCCCCATCCCTCCCTGGTTGATTATGTGCTTCCTACAAAACGTTGAATCCCAAGTTTAAGTAGAAAGTTCCGACACATCTTTCCTTTTAAAACGTCTCGAAACCGGAGTGCAGTGTATCTAAGATTTTTCAGATTCTTCGGAATTAGTTTGACAAGTTAGTCTGGTATAAGTTAACTGTTTTAGTGCAAAGAGAGAGAGAGAAAAGCTAGCTACGTACCCCGTTCCACTGTAAATCCCACGCCAATGAGACGTTGCGCAGTGGAGGAGTCATCGATTTCAACTAAATTTTGTCTAGTATGTGGAATCTAGAGCGGGACCGGGGCGAATCTAGAGCAAACCCGTACTCATATGTTCGGATGAATATGCATTATTTACGGAGACGTCTGATATTAACGTTTCGATAAACGAAGATTCGCTTTGATTAGTCCAAAGTACTTAAACCGGATTCCTCCCGAGCTAGGAACTACCATCTAGTTCAGAATCTCTGTATTTCATATCGTATGTCGATCTCTCGATAATTTAAGAATGTATTGGCTATACAGTCAATCCCAGAAGTTTATGCACTTTAGAAACGCATTTTTTAAAAAGAAAAAAATTTTTCGTCAGCGTCAATACTTAATTAGATATTTCCTTCTATACTTTTTAGCACGTACCTATTTATTATTAGCATTATTCTTCCGACGTCTGATTTCCTTTTAATTATAGGAAATGCGTTTTTCTAAGGTACATAAACTTTTCGGATTATAGCCAATACATCCTTAATGTATATACGTGCTAAATTCTGACGAATAAATGAATCGAAATATACGTTGGCATTTTTATTTCGCGATGCTTGACAAAATAATAGATCAAACGTCTTTTATTAATCCAATTAGCCAAATGCATTATATGAAACGAACTGCGATTCAATTCTCAAAGAGGACCGACTTGCCGTATGAGGTTGGCACGACGATCACCTTTCCCCCATTCAATCCTTAATTCAAGAAAATCAGCAGGGAAGTACCGGGCGAGACCTGAGAGAAGTGAAAAGAACGCGGAAAAGGAGAATGAAAAATAGTCATTGGACTAGTGGGAATCGAAAACCGGAACATCGAATCGGATTGAACGCCGCACGACTGCTTGGGAAATTAGATTGTTAAGATTTAATCGGACACAGAGGCATTTTAAACGTCCCCGGGTTCGTGTGACGTCGCGGGGGGTCCAGATTTAAATTGCACCGTCTCATCCGAGTCAGGCCCACCGTGCCACGCTGCCCGTAGAAGATAGCGTGGGTCGTTAAGATTTCTGCCGGATTCCCTTCAACGGAATTTCATTTGCGACTCTGTCTTGCCACGGCTCGTCTAACCACCTAGACTTCGTAATTTAATCGTCTTTCCGACGCTGGCACGAGGCTGTTTAAAGGAAGCTTTTGATAAACGTTTAGGTTGGACACGTGATTGTTTTTAGAAGATGGAATTAATTTAAAAAACTTTTTAAGACGCGTTTAACAGTGTACGAAAATTTTAAATTGCTGATTCCTTTGAAAAACTGATTTATTAAAGAAGTAATTAATAACTGAAAAAATATGCATTCTTCATTATGAGTGAAACAGGGAATGGAAAATAATTAAAAATCGCTCTTACGAGAGTTCAATAGGAGAACCTCGCTTCACCGTCTTCACCAAATGGAGCCGAGCAGGACTTAACAATTCTCAGTAATTAAGAATTTTATTAAATTCAGTTTTTATTTCACCGCTTTCCGTTTCTCAGGATGTGCATTTTATGAAAATCAATGAAATGTCTATACAAGCGGACGAAATTTAATTATCCTCCGACAGATGATTTCATTTAGATACGACGGAATCTCGCAAAAATATCGCATCGCTTAAGTATATTAGATGATCATAGTCACGCGGTAAGAATCTATTTCTGAGAATTCCGTAATCCCGTAATTGAGTAAATTATTTGCCCAACCATAACCCAGTAATGTCAGTTCGCGTATTCAAATTAACGAGCTATTTCTACTTCCTAACACATGATTTAGCTCACAGGTATTTACAACTAGTTTAATTATAATCTGATATGTGAACCGTGTTACTCATTTAACTATCAATCGCTTAAATAAACGTCTTGAATTTATTTCAACGAGTCTCGCATGAAATTAGAGGATGAAAGCACTTTAAATCAGAACTCGCATCTTTCGCTGTTACATCAACGAGGAGGAGACGCACCCTCCGAGACTTCTCCCATGATTGTCCGGATGATAAACACCGCGAGACAAATTAGAGAGATGACGAACCGCCGTGTCGCGAGGATTACGTTTACTCCACTCTAACATCCTCTCGAGAACGAAATTACTACGCTGAAAGTTTTGGGTAAGACGCTCGAATGGGGACACTTGGGGGCAGAGGCCCTGTGATATGGCCTCTTCATACTGCGTTTTCCGCTCCCGTATTCCGCCCGGAACGGCGGGCGGAATTCTTGTTCCCAGCAACTAAAAGATTCCAGCAGGGGCCTGATCCGTACTCTTGACCCTCACTTATGCACAGAAGACTGGGTCCCCTGAACGTCTCCCAGCTTTTACATACTATTCCCTATACCTCGCATCTTTTACTACGGCACTGGGTGCCCGTCTTTTAAATGCTGAGAACAAGAATTCCGCTCGCCGTCTTGGGCAGAATATGGGAGCGGAAAACGCAATGTGAAAGGGCCATAAGGATGCTTCCTGAACGTGGCTAGAAATATTTTAAGCTTACGATGTTCGTTACCGTATTAGAGGAAAAGTGTACGATTAAATAAAAATGAAGAATTGAGACATTAAAATTATCCGCGACAACGTTTACGTACATTTAAAATATAAAGCGATTCGTTCTAGCAAATTATGAATATTAAACGAGTAAGCAACGAATGCTGTTATTAAAGGCTGTCATCGCACGTATTTTGAGAACTGAAACTAAACGGTATTGTCTGATAACAATCAAAGGTAGTAGTTTTTAAAAACTCCTTAAGAAGTTCGGAAAATTGTTCTCCGAGTACGCTGTTCTAATAATCTCCAATAATACCAAGAGGTTATTTCTTTGATTTCAAAACGAAGTTTATTCTCGACTTCGACGTACGTCTTCCTACTGTACAAAGTTCGAGTCGCGAGACTGCATTTATTAAATATCTGCTCTTACTTATTTCTATCTTGAGTTCAGCCGTGTACAATTTTAATAATCCAGACTCTGTTCCATTCGACTCGAGAGCTAAGTTATTTAATGTCAACTTAGACTCTCTTCGTCAACGTCCTTACTCTTTATGTCACGTCCTGTGCATGAATGATCGATACAGAAAAAGATTTTCCGATATTAACCGAAGAAAAATAGAAATCCCGATTCATCCACTGAATATTACAACACGTGCTTTAAATATTTCGTATGAACTTACATAAATTCCTGGTGAATTCATCTACTGATAAATCTGCTCAACTTCAATATTGCACTAACAACGGGCAGCTAACGGGTTTGACGTACACATTTCCCTTAACAATCCTCAACTTTAAACCGTCGTAACGTTTCGATGAATCTCTGCTGCGTTGTTAATTCCGACAACGGTGTAGACTCGGAAGTAATTAAATGCGTGGTGGTCTGTTCCACCACCGCGGTGATTTCAATGGGAGGATTCTTTCGTTTTATTCTCATACGTACGTATAGCTACAGACTGTTTCCTCGGCAGAGCGAGAGAGCGAGTCGAGCAATCGGGCGATTGCGTAAGACCGGAATAAGAAGCGGCGACCGGATGTGTCTGAATAAATCGGGTCGCTCGTTCTCCGGAAGAATTGCTCCCCGCGGTGGTGGGAAGGGCAACACGGTTTCAGAAGTTATTCAGCCGACCCGGGCCACGGAACCAGAGCGTCGCGCGATACCTCGTGTAAAGGACGACAATCGTCGTGACTCGTTAACCTCGGGGGGGTCGGAAAAGAATAGTTACGTACGTCGCGAAGAAGGGAAACGGTTGATGTACGGAGTCGGATGAAGAAAGGAGAGCGCGCGAGCAGGGAAAGGAAGCCGAGGAAGGGACGGCAATCGTGCGGGCAGGGGAAAATGAACAGGTAGAAATAAAAGAAGGGCGGCGAAGTTGTGCGATACGCTCCGGCGGACCGACTCGCATTTTTCATGCACCGTGTGCCGCGAGTGCATGTGTATCGGGGGAGGCTCGCCGAGATATGATTAAAAAAAAGAGTAGGAGCGAACGGGTGGGGGATGCAAGAAAACACGGACAATGAAATACGAGGAAAAAAGAGGCGAGGAAAACAATCCCGCGGTGCCGAGCGGATAAGAGAACGAAATAAAAAGGAAAAAGTGGGAAGAAAAAGGAGGAAAGAGAGCGATGCCGATGGAATAGCTACAATGGAATCGACGGTTCGACGCCGCGCGCGATCGTATTTCACGTCTGGACTCGACGAAAAGGGATGTTCTCGCGGCGGATAGACCGAATGGTTGCTCGTACGCTTCTCCGTTCCTGGCCGAGGCGTGAACTCGTAAAACCGGCAGATACATTCGATTAGCCACGACCGGCTGATACGGTTTACCCCGTCGAGTTTTCTCCTGACCCGGGGGTTAAAAGGAGGAGCCGACGCGGCGCGGCGGTGTGAAACAGGTGAACGGGAGGAAAAAGAAGGAACTCGATGAAGCAATGAAATAAGCTACCGAGAGACGCCTAGTCGAGAACCGAGCCAAATCAGCGGGACGATTTGTTGTATGACGGATTGAAATACGGGGAGAGCGAAAATTGGTTATGAGAGCAGACTGTTCGTTCAAGCAGCGGTGATGCAATTATGCATTGACACAATTATTCGTCAAATTCATTAAATTTCTATCGGTGGGAACGGGTGTTCGACCGTTTCGCCAGAGCAGTGACCCCACAAAGCAGTCAGTCTGATCGTCGTGGACCGACCCCAGCCCCTGTATTCGTTGGTTCAATGCTCTAATGGATAAGAATTCCTGGTTCTCTCGCATCGGTGTTCCGCATTCACGTCTTTATCTTTGGCCCGTCCGGATACCGCTTCTTCACCCTCGTCTCCGTCCCCGCCTCTTCTTTAAAAAAAAACTCGGTTTCCTCTTTCATTTCACTGAGAAGCAATTTTTTCTCATCGGTCGATATCGCGTTGTTTGTCGAACGAATATTCGCTCGCAAAATAGCTCAAATTGAGCCGTTCAATTCGCATTCGCCGAATAAATAGTTACTGGGACAAATATTATGACGACATTTGACGATTTCACGATATCGACGTTTGACATTTGCCCGTATTCTTTTCTTTTCTATCTCTTCTCGATTTCATGGTCTCTGCCCTTTCGCTGTCTATCGTGTCCGTGCGTGTTTTTTGCTCAGTCGTATACGACATTTATTATAGAATACATACAGGTTGACTCGTAACACATGACATGTACTCATATTTTCCCGTCTTCCTCTATTTCTAAACGAAGAGTCGGTCGACACATGCGATTGCGACGCGAAGCCAGGAGAAATTAAAAAAATTCGGGGGAACGTCGATTCCGGACGAATTATTCTTTCTCTCTATTTTTCGCAATTGTATCCAAACGGTTTTGATCTCATGCGCTCATCTTTGATTGACTTAACCCACATCTAAATTGAGCCCGGTGACATTTTTATATCTACATTGTCAGCGGTTAATCGAATCATTGGTAAGGGAGAAAAGTGCAAACCGTTGTCATTACTCGTGAGGATCGTGACTCGTGAGAGTCGGTGTATAGTGAAATTAAATCGTGTTCCAATCCCCTCAAAGAGACCAGAGCCCGGCGCACGCTTTTCATAAAACAACCCCGTCGCCAGTGCATGAAATCATACTTAAAATTCATGCCTCTGATCTCGTCCACAGTACTTGTACACTTCTATCTCCTCCGTTCGCACAGTTTGCTCGGTACCAACAAGGAGAGCGCAGATAAAACGAAGGGGTATTGCAAGTCGGAGCATATAAAAATTTTGCAAATATACTGGAACTATTTCCTGACTCCGGCATCGAACTCCAAATGCCAATAGCCCGCAAACTTCTTGGCAACGAATACGATGGACCTAATCCATACCGGCGGCGACGCATCGGTGCAACGTCCCGCAAGAAAGTTCGAAGAAACGGAGGTCAAACGGACAAAAGGAGCGGAGGGGACGCGACGGTATCGATACGCGTCGACCGTATCGCCCTGGGACTTTGCAAACGTGTAAGTAAAAATCCTTGGACGTGACACTCACCCACGACGTGAATCAGCAGTACGATTTTTAGTTCCATCGATGCTCCTCTTCCAATCCTCCCACGTCGAATTCACGCGCGCCTTATTCCTGCGACGATCCTCGCACGTCCTTGCGACAACCGCAGTGTGTGTGATCTGATCGCGGCCGGCGCGGCGCGTCTCTTCGCATGTCGCCCTTCCAGCGCGTATTTTCTCCCCTGTTCGCGTGTCGAATGCGTACGTCCACACGTTGCCGCTCCTAAGTAGTATCGGTAGTCTGGACGCCAACGGTCCCCTTACATAATAGCAACGATAGCAACGTCGCGCACGGCCGTCGGCACTCGTATGTCTGTACGATACGTCGCGTCGCGTCTGACGGGGTCGCGACGGTCACGTAGGAGAGAAACGAGGGTGGTAGCGTGCGGCGCGATGCGAACAACCCCTTGTGCGGTGTGTGCGCGGTCTGCGGAGCCCGGCTCTTCTGGCGATGCTACCCCCGTAGTCTGCCGTTTCGCGCAGAATCAATTTCCTTACAAAACGACACCGAGGAGCAGCGCGAGTGCGAGTGCGCGCGCAAGCGCAACCCCCCGCGATCACCTCTTCCTTTTTCAGTTCCTCGTTCACCCCCCGTGGACTCGTCGTCCTGCACCAACGTGAGAACAAAGAGAGAGGGAGAGAGAGAGATAGGTGGCCTGTTCGCGTGTGCCGGTAAGCCGGAGACTGTGTCAGTGAAATCTGGCCCACCGATAGATTCCGAGCAGAGCCGATAGGCCAACCCCCTCCCACCGGTCTCGACCATCCCCCTACATATACATATTTGGTTTCCCTCGTAGCTCCGATTTTCCTTCTTTTCTCGCTCCTTCTCCCGCTCTCGGCTCCTCCGTATAGTCCTTTCCATCCTTCGTTTCGTCCGGCCTCTCATGTGTAAACTCGTGACAGAACCCTCGCGACGTTAAACTCGTCGCCGGGCTTCCTCCTTCGCGACACCGACGATGCATCCTTGCCCTTTGTGCCCGCTCCCATTGTTCTCGTCAGCTACTACCGATACCCGACAATTCCTTCCTTTGCCGGTACACTAGAACGTAGAGAGGAAACGGAGAAAGGAACGGAACGGGGAGGGATGCTCTTTGTTGTTCGGAGATAGCGGAGTTACTCTCTTTTTCTCTTTCACCAGATGATTTCGAGTTACTCGGCTCGATGGAGTTATTCCAGATTGTCTTCTGGACTTAAGTAGGTTAACTCGTAGGCATCGTGCTGCCAACCGTCGGAGACGACGTCGTTCGCTGTTTTTTTAATGAAATTTCGTTACGTAACACCTGTTGGCTGGCGTCCTCTTACCCACTCCGGTGATCCGACGCCTTTATTGCCGCCTAGTAAGTAACCCTAAGCGAGATGAAGATGTCTGCGAAGAAATGGAAGAAGTACTTCGCTACTAAATTGGACGTCGCGATCTTTTGTCTGTCGCGAGTACTCCGCGTCACGTATGCGAACGGAAAGTGTGTACGTGCTGATGTATTTGCGAGAATAAAGTATCCTTAAGCTTTGACGCAGAAACGCAGAACACCGATGCACACGATTTGCATGTAACAATTTTATGTAAGTAAATTGCTTCTTTCAAAGGCAAGAACGTTGTACCTCGCGTATAATCGAGAACTACCGAATATAAATAGGGTCCAATTTATCTCGATCCATCAACCGCGGGTAACGCTTCCTGTTTTATTCAAATACAGGCGGGCACCGATTTTACTCGTAAATCACGCGGTTTCAGAACGCGGCATTTAAAAATGCCGAGGCCTTCGACGTTGCGTAAGGTCGCAGACAAAAAAATATACGGAATCGAGGAAAACATCCAATTTCCTGTTTAACGTCTGGCGAGGAAATATGTAGGAGATGAATACCCATGATCTCACTCCTTCGCCGTGGCAATTTTTCAGCATAATCTGTTGGAAAATTTGCCACCCAGCTTGCCACACTGCCGCCAAGTCTGCTTCGTCACACTTACCCGCGTTACTTACTTCGCGTGAATTTCACACGGTTTTTTTCAATAATGCTTTTCCGGCCAGTGATGGATTCGCAAAGCAAGTGGTGTAATGTAAACTTTTTCGAGTCGAGTCTCTTTAGAACAGCTCTCCCTTCTTTTCTGCTATTTACGCTGTAGGAGAGCGAATAGGAGTTTCGTGCATGCGGAAATTGGCGTCGCGACAATGAATTTCGAAGTCATTAAATTACAATCGTGGACAAAAACAAGGTAGAGAGAACATTTATCAATGAAATTTAATCGAATCTATAATGTTATAAGGAGACGGAATAAATCAAGAGTTAGGTTTATAACAATGATTCGATTAAATTTCATTCATAAATATTCTCTCTACCTGTCCACTTACTTTCGTCCACGACTGTATATACAATGAATATCGAGCGATATATCTTCCCAGCCTCTTTATGAGAGGCACGTTTCAACAGACACTTCGTCCGGAGTCTATATGACTCAAAACAACTCAAACAGCCTTGTCTCACGAGTTTTGTTACTCGTTCATCGAGTTGTTGGTCGTTCTTGTTACTTCACGCGTCCCTTGGCTTTAGAATTTTAGTGCCACTTGTTCTCCATTAATTAAATTTCTGTATTACGTGTAGATATTTAAAACATTATTAGAAAATATTGTCCGATGAAAAAATTCGAATGAAACAGTGGAATTACTCGGTAATTATGAGCAGACATTTTAACAGAAGAGAAGAGCGCGGCTGTTATTTAACGAAATTATATTGAAAGCAAATCTTTAAACGTTCATGCTGAATTTTTTGCGCGGAGAGATTCCAGTGACTTTCCGGCCAAAATTTAAATACAATACGCGGAATTATTCAGCGATTATACAAAAGATACTTGAAACACGTTCCACGAAATTTTGCCTAGCCACTGTGAAATGAAACTTTAATATCATTTATCAGATCTTGTTTGAGCTGCTTTTTTAGTGCTATATTAAAACTCTGCGGATCTTGTATTTATATTTCGACCTGGTACAGAAGTTCTGCGGACAAATCTCTCTTTCTTCGAGGTGTTTCAATTGCGAGGAAAAATTTTCGCAGAACCACCGTACGCTCCAACGTTTACTTTTTTTCCCTTCCGAACCAACGCGATCCCCCCCTCTCTCTCTCTCTCTCTCTCTTTCTCTTTCCTCTTTCTCTCTCGCTCGTTATCACGGAGCACGAATATTCCTTGCGAGCGTTTCACGGAAACCGTTGTCGTGAAAACTTGGTTCGCGTGCATGCACAAGTAAAATCCGGCCTACCGATAGATTCCGGGCTGAACAACCCCTGGCCAGCGACCCTCCGTTCGTTTCACGGCTGCAAAACCAACCCCTGTGCAGTCGAAACGATAGCACAAGCCCAGCGCGGTGTGTCACGCGAAACTTTCACGCACACATCACCCCTCTCTTCTCCTATCTCCGGCTTCCTCTTTCGCGACGTTGTCCTCGAACTCACCCTCGCGTTTATCGCCGCCGAGTTTTCTTCGATTCCCGTTTCCAAGACGGCACTGTGGAATTTCCGCAACGTTTGCGAGATATATATTAGTTGTTATCGTGATAGCATTATATCCTCAGTTTCGTTCGACTCGAATTTGTAGTTTTGCTTCTCGAAGGATGCCGTACTTTTCGGAACGAAGACGAAAAGGGTGGAAGGAACGAACGAAATTGCTCGGTGCCGCGCGATGGCGACGTTCTTGGCTCTTTCCAATTTGCCGGCGTGGCGAGGCTCGCCGCGTTTTTGAGAAGCTGCGTCAGGAGTTTTCCTGCCCGAGTTTTGGCGGAACGATCATTCAGAGAAGGGGAGTTCCGGAATTTCTATAGAAATCGTAATCGCGCCCTTCCTTTTTCCAGATTTCCAAGAAACTCCGGTTGTACTTTGTAGTGCTGCGCCGCTTTAATGAGCTGTAGTTCTCCGCCCCGAGTTTTCTTGTTACGTTATTATACCTTCTGTTTCGTCGAATTTTTCATTACTGAAATTGAAGCGACTAAGCGTTCGCATGGAACTTTTCACTCCGTAAAACAGAATTTCATTATCTTCTTGCGCTCTCAGTATCTCGTTTTTATCCATCTATTTTTATCAGTCTTTATTTTCGCAGTATTATTAAATTATTATTTCTCGAAATTTTATATTCGTGCAACCGTCAGAACGAGAAACAGTTACCTACGTGAAATTTTGCGACGTTGTTTTCACCAACGTCTGGGTGAATCTCGCGTGTTTCGAGGGGGGGGGGGGGGAAAAAAAAAGCGTCGTGTCAGAGTTTCTGTAATCGGCTGCTTCAGCAATGACGCGACGACGAAACTAGATTCCGGCACGGCCAACGAAAATCCGGGGGAAAATTCGCGGTGGAATGCCGAGCTACGTTTCCCACGATAACCGCCCTCCCCCCGTCATCGTTGATTCTCTCCTCTTTTCGCGTAACTTTTTTTACGGTTTACGTAGAAACTGTGTCAGGTTTTTCCACGAGCGGCTCGCGGAAGATACGACAAAACGTGGTATCGCACACGTGTTTCGCGACGGAACGCTGGATTCTGTTTCACCTGTCTTAGGCGATATTTTATATTTCCGAAAGACTGCGTCGGCTCTGTCGCGATACACGCGTTTCATATGCGAACACGCGACGACAGAATGCCGAGCGAGAAACGCTCGACGCGTTGTTGCATTGTATGTACATATAGAGACCGCAAAACGGGATCCAGTTTTTTGTGCGGTCGCAATTTATTATTTCCTCTCGCATAACAAGATTTCATTCGAGGCAAATAAAAGTTACTTTCATTTCTGAGCATCGCGTCGCATAAAACGATTTGAAAAATGAAAAGGGGAGATAAGCAATGGATAATACGTCGTTCACCGTGGAACGTGCGGTTTCCCATTTCGAATATCTCTGATGGGGAACAGTGGTAGCTGGTTCAAAGATATTGTGGCGGAATGTCAGGTGAACAGCGACAGGAAAGTGCATTTCACGAGAAAGATCGCGCGAAAACTCGGATCCCGTATGAAACGAACTTTGATGTTCACATTAAAACGTGAAAGTTCTTTGACCATAATAATTTTATTGCAGAACGTTTCTCATAATTCCGCGAAACTGAGTCGAGTTTTATGTGACGAGGTTGCAATCTCTGCCAAAGGTATACCGGCAAACTCGTCTTTCATACGAAATGAACGCTGAGCTTGTACTGTTATAGCGGAAGTCCCATATTTCCCATTTTTGTCCTTCACGAATTTCTAATACTCGTAAGTTCAGTTCTTACGCCAACGAGGAAAAATCGCTTTTAAAAATATTTCGGGTTTAATAAATTGTCATTAGGAGATGAATGGAAGAAGAGTTTGTCACTTTATGTGCATGACCTTGTGGGTGATTGAGATCGGGATCATGATAGATCACATAAATGAGCTTACGCGATGATCGATAAATCCTGGAGAAGCGATATTCAAATTGGGGGATCACTTCCTCTTAAATCTTCCGAAATCCTGTGC